TGCCAAAAGACTGGCTACTGGCAATATTCATTCCACTTCCTAAAAAAGCCAACGTTAGCAAATGTGAAGAACATAGATTAATTAGTTTGATGAGCCTTGTACTTAAAGTACTCCTTACTATCACTCACTCGCGCATATACACCAAATTAGAAGAACACCTGAGTAAAGCAATTTTTAGTTTGAAAGTTCTAATACAAGGAGCTAGGGATGTCAACTGCGATGTGTATGCATGTTTCATTCATTTCGAGAAGGCATTTGATAAACTCCCACATGGGAAACTTATTGATAACCTAAAAACATCAGGACTCGATGGTCAGGATATAAGACTGATCTCAAACTTATATCTCCAACAAAAAGCAACAGTACGATTAGAGAATAAACTGTCCGAGATCTTCACAGTCGAAAAAAAGGTTAGACAGGGTTGCATATTGTCACGGCATTATTTAACATATACTCTGAAAACATCTTTCGAAAGGCCTTGGCCGAATCAGAAGAAGGGATTACTGTAAATGGCCAACTTATAAACAACATTAGATATGCAGACGATACAGTGTTGCTGGTAGATAGTGCGCAGGAGATTCAAAGGGTGATGGATAACGTTGTAGAAGCATGTAAAAAATACTGCCTAAAACTAAATTGCAAGAAAAGACAAATAATGATCATTAGTAAGAACACCGGCATAAACGCCCAAATTACAATTAACGATACACTGTTGGAAACTCCACACGAAAGAGTGAAAAAAATATGCTATTTGGGCTGCAAAATTAAGGATGCTTGGGATCACAGCTACGAAATAAACTCGTATTAAAAAAGCCAGAAGCTCTTTCAACAGCCTTAGGAAGATTATCTGCAACTTCTCTTCAAGTATCAATATACGCATAAGAATTCTTAGATTTTACGTCCTTAGTGTCCTTATTTATGGAGTAGAAAGCTGAAGCCTTACAGAAGATGCCATAAAATGATTGGAGGCATTTGAAATGTGGTGCTACCGACCGATAGGTGCTCTCTTTGCCTTTAAACTGCATTTTGATTTTTGTCAATAGGACACTCTGATCAAAAGATATCGAGTTTTTATAGTTTAGTTGATATAAATTTTATTTAAAATTAATTTCGTTGGCGTACCTGACATTGAAAATCATCGGCCGCTTCAACCATTGTTTCTAAGAAAACGGTTCATTTTATAAAAAAAAGTGCTTAAAACATTTTTAAGTCCCAAAATTGACATTCTCAGCAAAATTCAGGTTAGAGAATTAGAGATTCAGTGGCTTTTTCTTCTCTGACAACTAGAGTATTTGTTAAATACTTTTTCTTCTTCTTCTTAAGGTGCCCTCTCCATTACTGAAGATAGGCTATAACTACAGCAAATTGCTCTCTATCTTGAGCTGTTCTTCGTATCGAATATGTATCCATGCTTGTCCAGTCTCTTACATTTTTCAGCTAGGAGCATTTTTTCTTCCTGGACCTCTTCTTCCTTCCACTTTCCCTTCCATTATCAGTCGTAGGAAGTTGTATTTTTCTCCTTTGTAAATATGTCTTAAATAACTCGTTTTTCTGGTTTTCACAATGTTTTTTCTCTCCCAGTCTTCATTCTTCTCAGCACCTCGTTATTGGTCACGTGTGTGTTAAAGTTAGTTTATTGGCGTTTCAATTTCCACTTCGGAAATTGTTCTCAAAATACAAACATCAGTAAATTGACTATTCTCTAGAGAATTGAAATTCTCTGTTTATATTTAATTTGATTATTAAATATCCTGATACATAAATTTTGCCTTGTAGAGGAGCTTATATTAGACAATTAATTTAATAACAAGAATATACAAATGAAGTTATTAAGAAAGAAGCTCTGACTCTGTTTACATACTTTATCATGATAATTAAGTAAAAGTTCTATGTAATGGTCTAATGAAATATTGTTTTAATTATAAATGGATTTCTTAGAACATTTTAAATGAAATAAAAAAAAAGAAATAATTATTTATCAAACAGAAGTGATGATGTATACTTGGTTTAAAAAATATATTAATAAAAATGTACATATATGACGCAATAACATAGCAGATAAAGTCCTGTTAAGAAAAATGTTATAAACATATTTAAAAGTAGGCTGTTTTAAATGAAACTACCTACACTATTCTTTCTATTCCTCATATTTCATAAAGAAATCATCATTATCAGTGGCTTAATAACTCTTTGCATTCCTTGGCCTACTCTGAAATATTACTTTTCAACGTGGTATATATTTTTATTTTTAAGTTAATTATATTCAGAAACTTGAGGTATTTTTTCCAATATTTCATAAATATAGTTTAGCTGGGCCTGAGTCTTTTTCTTTTAATTGCTGTATTGTCAGATTCCAGTAAGAGCCTAAGAAGGTATCCATTGAATTCTGACAGGCAACAGTGGGGGAAATATTTTTTTTTCTTGTTTTTTGGACATCTACGTCATAGAACAAGACACCCTGGCATCTTTCGGCTGAGTAGGATACTAGGCCAGAATATTCAAGGGTAGTGCCGGATTAACCGTGTTCCGGCTAAAACCTTAACCACCGTTCCAGAGAGGTGGTCTTACCACTCAATAAACAACTAAAATAAAAAACTAAAAATTTATAAATAACAATACCTATTACCGTAAATCAACAAGTGTTTCAGACGTTAGGCCATAAACTAATAAATAAAATTAACCAAAAATTTCAGATCCTTGGCTCAATTTCCTCCTCTGTTCCTGCTCCTTTTTCTTCATTGCCCCAGAAATCAGACTCCACTTCTCTTCATTCTTTCTCTCCTCTCAACATTATGTTTTCAATGTTTCTCTCATCCATCTCGAAACCCATTCTCCTCTCGAAATCTCCCATCTCATTTGCCCATCTCTGGTAGTTCAAAATATGGGCGGGGTACCCCACAAACAGTACAGTCTGCCGAGGCAGATTTGCCTATTCTAGTTGTGAACGTGCCAAAACTACCATGTTCTGTCAGAAACTGCGTCAGGAAGTAGTCTAGTTTCCTGATCTTACATTCCCACCACGGTCTAGATCCGGAATAAGCTCCTTCGTCCACCTTGCTCTTCCACTATTATTCGCCCATTCTCTCTGCCACTCTACTATCGTTCTTTCTATCTCATTATCATCTATATTTATATCCATCCTCTACGCATACATCCTCGCTCGCTCTTTACACAACAAAATGATCGGTATCACCGCTCAAATGACATATAGAGCCTCATTTAAAACTGTTGTATATGCGATAAATACCCTGAGGAGCATTCGCCTTTGCAAAGTCTCCATCAGCTTAGCGTATTTCACAGCGTTTAGTACACTACACCACACAGGGGCAGCGTAGGTTACCACCCACTGGAAAACTTCATTTAACACCTTTCTTTTGGTGCTACCTGGACCTCCAATGTTTGGCAGATTTCGGTTCGTCTTCTCTACTGTCTTTTGGATGTGTACTCCGAACCTTAGACCTTCAGACAACCAGACTCCCAAATACTTAATTGATTTAACCGCACTAACTCCACATCTTCCACTATAAAACGAAGAGAGGATTTTTCCCGGGTCCATTTGAGAAGTAACACCTCAGTTGTCTGAGGCGCTAGCTGTAGATTGTTCTCCCTGATCCACGTACTAATGCGACGCAGGGCTGTATTAGCCGCATCCTTCTTCTTCGGTATTCTTCTTTTTGGAGTCTGCTTATTTAGTTTTTTGGGTATTTCGTTTCGGTATTTCATTTATGGAATTTAAATTCCAATCTAAATCTAAAAGCACGTTCCAAGAGCGTATTAAGAAGTTTTGGGTGAAATTTGATACCCTTTTCTAACTCTTTTCTAAGTTTTTTTCTTGTGCCATACCAATATCAATCCCCTTTACTGATATGTAATGCTTAAGCGTCGTCTTACAGGTCTTCTTTAGTCTTCGTTTCCAATTTATTCCCACAAATTACAAAATCATCATATTAACCCTTTCTATCCTGGGCCTTAATTTGCACGTTGGTTCCTCAATCCCTTAGGTTTTTTCATGCTTAGAATCCCATTGCCGTATATATACGTCGCATATAAATAAACAAATTAATGACAAAAAAATGTTTTTTTGTTTGGTAAATTGAGACCATAACACCTCGAATGTCTATATAAGGCGGCTGGGACTACAGACCCACTTTTTAAAAAACATATAAATGCGGCGTTGGGACAGAAAGGGTTAAGGCCGATAAAAATGCCCGAACCATCTTATTCTATGCTCCCTTATTTTAAAATCAGTACTCAGTACTCTTACAGCAAAACTAAATAGTTGAGGCTTTTGATATGTGGATTTACCGTCGAATATTGTGGATAAGTTGGGTTGATCTAAGAACAAATGAAATAGTTTTACACTTTACAAAGAAGACCTATGGGTCTGGCCCTTAGTCAGGACATATGGGGGAAAATTAATAGTGGTACGTCCCAAAAAAAATTATGGAGAAGTGTAGTTAGGTAAGCAGACACCGCATAGGGATAAAGGCAAAGATTATGATGATAATCAATAGATAGGACTTATAGATAAAGTCCAATACTATTATAAACTATAAGAATGATTTTTATTCAAATAGTTGTTGTACTATATTTTTATATTGTACTATGTTTTTTTGGCATTTATAGTCAAACCAAATATTTGTAAAAATTACAAGAGAATATTTCCCGTAAGAGCTTTAGTTAATTATCATTCATTTTGTGTTTTGTTTTGTTGCCAAATTAACTTTACTACAATGTTTTAGTTAATATTAATTATTAACATGTAATTAACAGATATTTTCACAAACAATAAATTTTTTGCTAACTGCAGTCAGTGAATTAAATCCGAATTCATCGCAATAATAAGTCACGCTCAGCGAACTCATGCACTTAATCCATACAATCAGACTGTGCTTTTGTGCATTATCAATTCAAATCTTCATAAAGAAGTAAAAGTAGACTAATACAATCTTCTTTTCCCCCAACACTAGCCGCTAGACGTCTCAACTCTTCGTGTTCAGATCTCACCATAGTCAGTCTAGATGGAGACGAAGCAGATAAACACGGTCCGAATTTAGTGAACAAACAGCGAGTGTTACCTTTCATCCCCCCGTCTTTTCCCGGAAGTGCGAATTCGAATAATTTGATCAAGCCGTCGGAGTATCTAAGAAGTATCAGTGATAAGCGGTCGTCGATTAGTTCCGTGAGAAGTTTGTCGGAAAGTGAGGATACTGAAAACAAATTTGAAGAAAAAAGAGACATTGCGAGAATTGCTCCTGGACCACCACCGCCTCCTCTGCCGGATCTTAATCTAAAAGAGGTATGTTTTGCTTTATTTTATAGTATATACATTAAAATTGAACGGTGCAGGGGAAAAGGCAACTAAGCCAAAAAACCAAACTTTGAAACGATAAAAATTCTATGATTTTTTACATTTTTTTAAATATTTAAAAAATATTTAAAAATAAAAAATATTTTTATATGTTTATTTCTATATGTACCTTTTATAAATAGCTGGAATAATCTGATGATTAAATTATTATTTAGTAGTTGGATATTTTTTATTTAAACAAAATGTGGACTGAGTTGGTTCTTCCCCTGAACAGCTAAAAATTTTTTTATTTTTTTATTTCGTAAGACATTTCTACATTACATTAAAAAAACACACCAAGCTAAAACCATCCAAAAATCGCTTTAATCGTCGGGAACATTATCCGGCTCAGATGGTAACTCAGGCTGATTGGCAGAAAGAAGTTGGCTGTGGTACTCTTCCCTCTTCTTCACAGAATTTGATTAGAACTTTTGGATCGGCACACTTTTCATTGGGCAAAGGTATAAGTGTTTGGTAGAGCTGGTTGGGTTCTTGAAGATCGGGTACCTTTGATTTCCCCTTCTGGTTCTTCCGTTGATCTTTTACTAGGGACGACGTGAAAGATCCGTTATCTGTTTCGGTGTGATGCACCGAAATGTTTGGTTGTGTAAATTTGATAAAAGCTTGTCTTGCTTGTTCGGTACGGCATTTTATTTCTTGTTGAGGATCCCATTGGTCATTCATCATTTCCAAGTATCTAAATGTTTTCATTTGATCGATTGGAACAATATCTACTTGCAGTTGTATTCTTAAAAGTTCGTTTTTTCTTATTGTAATGCATTTAGGTTTTCCAGCATTTATCTTTAAGCCATATATTTTCTTATGGTGTTTATTTTCATGATATCTACATGTTGTTCGTTGTCATCGTTGTTATTATCGCGGTGTCGTCGGTGTAACATGCTTTATTTATCGGGAACCCGTTTACCTTTATTACACACTGAAAAGCTTTCAGTGCTTCTGCAAAAATGTTCTCCACATAGAGATTGAAAAGCATAGGAGACAAAATACACCCCCTGTCGCACTCCTCTTAAAATTTCTAATTCTTATGTGTTGGTTGATTTGTTCATTTTCACTCGTGCTTTTTGATTCCAATAGAGATTCTGGATAAGTCTTATATCTTTCTCGTCAATGTTAGCGTTGTGTAGCATTTTTATCATTGCGTCATGTTTTACGGTGTCAAACGAGTTTTCATAATCGAGAAATTTAAGTATTTACCCAGTCTATTACAATATAAAATTGTACAGATACGCCACTATTCGCTTCTAGACTACAAGCAATGACCTCGGTCCATCGCGCTGTCTCTTGTTTAGGCGTAGTTCGGAGAAAATCATCTGGCTGGGCGAAGTTTCTTTGTAATTCGAGATGATTCGATGGCTGTATAACATCAAACGGTGTCGAATGTGGTCGACATATTCGACACCGTAAATCAACAAAAAATGTTGGAAGCCTTGACAGAATGCCGAATTGACTATCGGTATATAAATATAATTAAACACATATGCCAAAACGCAACAGCCAGTGTTAGAGTGGATGATCGTCAAACCCATAAATTCCCGATACAACGTGGAGTACGCCAGGGGGACACCATATTGCCGAAACTGTTCACTACGCTTTTGGAATATATATGTAAAAGACAAAACTGACCGACAAGGGCATAAACATAAACGGAGAAAAGCTTAGCCATCTAAGGTTTGCAGATGATATTGTACTAATAGCTGATAGGATAGATGAGGCCAAAGAACTTTTAAATCAGCTGTTCCTTTCCTCGCTAGAAGGGGGATTGAAAATAAACATATCTAAAACCCAGATGATGACAAATCTTGTAGTCAGCGAAGATATATGCGTAGGAACAAAATCCATAGACCAGGTAATGGCCTATAAATACCTAGGTCATGAGATCCGCATAGGAAAAGATAACCAAACCGTTGAGCTTCTCCGTCGTATAAGACTGACTTGGGCAACCTTCGGCAAGCTGAACCATATTTCAAATCGTCTGATATACCAAAACCTTTAATCTGTGTTTTGCTAGTGTTGACTTACGGTGCGGAAACGTTGACCACGACAAGAAGAACAGTTCAAAAGATTCGTGTGTCTCAAAAGGCGATGGAGCGTGCTATGTTGGCGTTTCACTGCGAGACAAGATCCCAAATCGTCAGCTACGACAAAGAACAGGAGTGGCTGATGCAGTAGAGAGAGTAGCAACACTAAAATGGAACTGGGCAGGTCACGTGGCTCGAATGACAGATAATAGATGTACAAAGCGGATACTCGACACCAACACGTTTGACTGACGATCTAAAACGTTGTCATAGGAATTGGATGCAAGAGGCCCAAAATCAAAATAGATGGAAAATCAGTGGGTAAGCGAAGATTGAATGACGATAATAATGATAATATCAAAGGAAGATTATTTAGTGCAGAGAATTAGGTAATCAAACGTACCGCAAAATGTATTCGCATCACTATAAGTACTTTATGTTTGCTTGTGTTGCTCGTAGTGGTTGTAAAGTAGTGCTCTTGTATTTTGTGGGTGAAAAGGTTTATATTTGTCATATAATTATTCTTGTTCTTCCTCTTTATAAGTAATTCTGCTTGTTCATTGGCGCATTAATACCTCTATGGAAGGCTGTCACTTCAGCTTTTGCGCGGTCATCCGATACTTCTTCTGCCGATTGGTGACTTATCTCTTGCTATTTTAACGACACGCATCTCCTTCATTATGCTTAAGTGCTTATTTCATTATTTTTTTTTATTTGTCTCTATTCATTTATACACTGTACGTTACATTTTCATTCAGTGTCTTCACTTTTCTTTCGATCTCTCGGCGTATTTCCTATAATTCTTCTCAATACTCTCATCTCTGCAGTTCCCAGTAGTCTTTGCATTGTGGCTGTGTCGAGTCTTGTTTCTGAGGTTATTGGTATTTATAAATACTTGTCATATAAGTGTTAATGTGTGTGTTTCACCATATAATATAGTGTTTTAAGGCATCCTGCCAGTTTATTTGCTTTTTGTACTTGATCTCCCACTTCTTTGTCCAGGTCTCGATAGCTTGATAGTATAATTCCCAGGTATTTTATTTCCATTACTTGTTCAATACCGATGCCATCAATTTCTATTTTACATCTGGTTGGTTCTTTGCTGACTACTATTGTTTACATTTTCTGAGATGAGATTGTCATATTAAATTCTTTTGCTCTTATCTTAAATTTGTGGACCAGTCTTTGCAAACTATCTTTATCTTGGGCTATCAATATGGCGTCGTCTGCGTAGCAGAGTATTTTGATTTCTTTGTTTCCCATTCTATATCCTCTTCCTTTGTTAACGCTTTTGATATATGATCAAATTAAAGAGCATGGGGCTCAATGAATCCCCTTGTCTTATTCCGTTGCCTATTTCTATAGATTCTGTAAGTTGTCCGTCTATTCTGACTTCCATTTTGTTATTTTGGTAGATGTTTTTAATAGTTGTTATAATATTAAGGGGAACTGCTGTATTATACAGAAGATGGATTACATCTTTAAGTCGTACTTTGTCAAAGACAGAAATGCTGCTAATTAGAGTTTAAAAAGAACGGACCGTTGAAATTAAAATAACATCATTCACGGAGGGTTCACAAGTGGTTCGCTTGGATGATATGTCAAATTCAAATCTAGGTGATATGAGGGTGTCAAGTTAGATTTTTATCGTTTTAAGTTCAAGCAGTAAAACATATGGTATACTAAAGGCAAAAAACGAAAGTCTGACGAATCATATATTAATCTCTGATTTATTGATTCCAACTGCTTACCTCTCTGTATGTTCTGCAGCAACCTTCTTGATTAGATTTGGATAGTACCTGCAATTTTTTTTGGTTTCGTTAAAAATTCAGTTTTTATAAAAGAAACGCTCTATTATATAATTGTAATATATCGTTCCACTGCTAATAACATTCATGGCGGATGCGGTTTTGTGAGAAATCTCAATTTTACATAATTTTTAATCATAGTGATTTTGAATCTTGCAACTGTTCATTTAATCTAAAAATGAATCAATGTATAAAGTAAAGCAACAAATTTAGATTGCTCAAATTCGAAAAATAATACACTCAGTGTTAGAATTTGCTCAACAAGAAGCAACTACTGATAAACCTATTATTGTCTTTAAAAAGTGCAAGAGCGTGTGGCTAGTATAACAAGTAATTTGATAAATAATCTAATAAAAAGAATAATAAATAACCTGAGATTTTTGGAATGCACTTTCAAAAGTATCAGTATGTATATAACAATAAAAATATTGCTTAAAAGTATGCGTGTGTAAATTAGGAATCTCAGATTTTGTTGGATAAACAAACAAAAAATAATCAAACACTTTGAAAGGAAAGACATGACAAACAAAACACCTACAATTACAGTATTGATGAAACGTATTTACTTTCAAGCCATAATTGCAGTAGTTGGCTGATGGAACGAATTTACTACAAAAAGTGGTTAGATGAAAAATTGTTAAGTAATCTTTTCCAACAGTGTCATGGTAATTATAATGTTATACACCTTATCATAATACTCAAAAGAATAAGGCACCAACATCCACCATCAACAAATGATAGATTGGCTAAAAGAGAGAAACATTCCTCTTCCTGCTAATATGTTCAGGCCAGACCTGTATGCCATTATCTTTTTCTTCTTTACGTGCCATTACCACGATAGAGGTTGGCAATCATCATGGCTATTCTGATCATAGATATCTGAATAGTTCGATTGATGTGCATCCGTATCATTCCCTCAAGTTACACAACCATGGGATTCTTCTCTTTCCTACACTTCACTTGCCCTGGATTTTCCCTTGTAGAATTAATTGAAGTATGTTTCATCTTTCATTATGCATAACATGCCCCAGGTATTGCAGCTTTCGTGTCATGATGGTTTCCAATATTTCCATTCTTTTGTTGACTCATAAATGTTTAAAACAACCTTTTATTGGGTATGTCACCCGACTGATAAATTTCATTAAAGGGCTTTAAAAGGACATCGATGTACTCATTTTCTATTATTTTAAGATTATTAATAGGCACTTGATCTGACCCGGGCTTTTTATGTTTCTGGTATTATTTAATACCTTTGTAATTTCTATACTTATTTCTTTGTTCTCGAAAGATATGTCTTGTAGGTGTCCTCTTTCGTCGTCGAAGAACTCTTCCGTATATTATTTCCATCGTTTTAGCTTTTCGTTAGTCCTTATCATATTATCTCCATTTATATCTAGAAGAGTTGTGTTGTGGTTTATTTTTTGCAGCCCTGCTATTTCTTTAACCTTTTTATGTAGATTGAATAGGTCGTATTTGTTTTGAAGATCTTCTATCTCTTTACATTTGTCCTCATATTAAGTTTGTTTTGCCTCTCTTATCTTTTTTCATGTGCCATTATAAAATTATATAAACCGAAATAATAATATGTAAAATTTTCTGTTGATTCCATTCTTAGAAACAACGGAAATATCATATTAAGGCTCCGATCATATGATCCAGATCAAAATCCGATACAGCTTTTTGGAAAGTACTAAAAAATTATGTCGGAATAAAAATGTAGAATATATTTTTAAGTTTATTCGAAAATTCTTTAAGAGGTCTTTGAAATATTTTTGTAGAAGAGTGGAAAAAAATTGTAGACAAAGTGAAAATTATTAAAGATGATTTCATGTCAAAGAAGTCATTATCTGATCTGCTATAGAATCGTGTATTATTAATTTAGGTGAAGATTTACAGAAGATACAGATACTCATGACAGCGATGACAATTTGATTTAATTCTAAATTCTTTTTTTTTTTATTTGTTTTCTTCTAGCTTGTTTATTATTTCTATAGTATAAAGAATTTATATTAACTGAACTTTGTTTCATAATGAATCAAAATTTTAAAATTTTATATCATTAATTGCAAGTCGTTAAACAATCATTAATTTGGTAAACAATGATTAATGTAAACACTATTTCTGTACATACAAAGAAATCAGTCAATATTTGTAGGAACCCTGGCAACCCTGTAATTTAAGCAACAAATGAATTCTGCATCCCGCCTCCAGTTTTCGCGCAGCTTACCTCTATTGTTATCCTGGGCGTACTGTATACGTATATAAAAATTTCGCTTAATATTTTAGGAAGGAAACACCGAAATGGTTAAAAAACAGAACCAACCACTGTCGGCTATAAGTATTCAAGATCTGAACTCAGTTCAGCTAAGAAGAACGGAAAAAATGGTTGCTTCAAAAACATTTTCTGCTCCTACCAGAAGTATGAGTCTGCAATGTCTTCAGAGTGAACCGTTTTTAGCCCAGAAGACCGATTTAATAGCTGAACTTAAAATGTCCAAAGATATCACTGGAATTAAAAAAATGAAAATTGAGCGAGCCAAATGTGAGGAAAGTAAGGGTAAAGAAATATTTTCGGAAATTTCAAAGCAGTTTACAACTACTAGATTTGTAGAAAAGGTGAGTATAATTCAAATCATGAATGTGTTGCTTGTGTGAGTCCATTTCAAATAGGTAAAGAAATAATAAATAAGACTTACTCACAATCAATTTAATTTAACTATTCGGACGACCGGTTTCGCTTTCTACAATATGCAAAGCATCTTCAGGTCTCGATACAAAGTTAAATAAATGCTGAAATAATAAAACCCATATTAGGGTGTTGTCTGATAAAGATAAACAAATTAGATGTTATAAATTACAATAATTATGCCAATATTACATGTCTGTGGTTTATTTTAAAATGAATAAAATGAATAAAAAGGTATAAAAAGTTTAAACAGACAAGGTAAGACCCACAAATTGTCATAAAATAGTCTATTATATTGTAATAAATTAATAAATGAGCAAATAAATAAACATTACTTACATGCCGGTACTCTATTAATTGATGGATGGTAGAACATGATTGAAACTATCATGTATTGTTGAATGAAGAACTTAAGTCCGCTGTTGTAGTTGTTTGACAGTAAATGGGAAGTTCTTGAGGAGATAGATTTGGTCCAATGAAGTAAAGATAGGTGTGTGATTGTTTGTTAAATGAAAGTGATGTTATATACCATTGTATTATTTAAAAGTAAGTATAAATAACTTTTAAATAATACAATTTTATATAACATCACTTTCATTTAACAAACAATCACACACCTATCTCTACTTCATTGGACCAAATCTATCTCCTCAAGAACTTCCCATTTACTGTCAAACAACTACAATAGTGGACTTAAGTTCTACATTCAACAATACATGATAGTTTCAACCATGTTCTACCATCCATCAATTAATAGAGTACCGGCATGTAAGTAATGTTTATTTATTTGCTCATTTATTAATTTATTACAATCTAATAGACTATTTTATGACAATTTGTGGGTCTGTTTAAACTTTTTATACCTTTTAATTCATTTTATTCATTTTAAAATAAACCACAGAAATATTGGCATAATTATTGTAATTTATAACATCTAATTTGTTTATCTTTATCAGACAACACCCTAATATGGGATTTATCATTTCAGCATTTATTTAACTTTGTATCGAGACCTGAAGATGCTTTGTATATTGTAGAAAGCAAAACCGGTCGTCCGAATAGTTAAATTAAATTGATTGTGAGTAAGTCTTATTTATTATTTCTTTACCTATGTGAGTATAATTATTTACAATTGTACTTATATTATTTAAAGGTAACATTGCTCATTGTTTTTTTATTTAGTTCCCTGAATTGAAAGTAATGTCGTTTAGAAGAAATTTTTGCAAATCAATATTTTCTTGAAATTTTAAATCTTGAAAGATTTTTGCAATACGTTATACAATGTTTATAGTTTTTTGTAATATAAATCAAATTATTTTTTTTAATAACCTAATTGGAATTTTTTTAACAGTTTTAGAGTTAAGTGCGTAGTTTTAGTGATAGCTTCAATTTTTTTTGTGATTTATAGGTTCCAGAAAAAGACAACACAGGTAATATAATTCCAGCATGGAAAAGGCAAATGTTAGCCAAAAAAGCAGCTGAAAAGGCTCGGAAAGAATTGGAAGAACAATTGTGGCGGGAAGCAGAGGAAAAACGGTTGCAAGCGATTCCCCAGTGGAAACGACAGCTTTTACAAAAGAAGGAGGAGGCTGAATATAAAATAAGGTGAAATGTTATATTTTTGTTTAAATATTCCAATTTTTTTAGGTATATCAATTTTTATTGTTAAGTAAAGAGTTCGAACATTTATTAAAACATTAATTAAACTTTGTAGATATATTCTCTCACATTTTATCGTAATAAACAGAAGAAAAAACATAACTTAAAATAAAGCTGAATAATTTTAAATAAACAAACTTAAAAATTCAATACTGCAAAAAATTGCGAACCTTTACAACTGACATTTATAATGCAATAAGAAACTGGGAAACAAACGACTTACACTAATTTATTGAATCCTGGATAATCCAAAAAATGAATAGACTTTAAAAAGAGATCAAAGATGCATTTGATTAATGTAATCTCACTCTAGGTTTTTGGGTATCATACAAAACGGAGTAGTGGATTCGGTTAGTAAAATCACTCGATAGTGGACCTGTGAAACTCAGTGGAAAATTCAGTGGAAATCAGTAGATCTGGATTTTATAAGAGAGAAAGGCATACTCATTAAGACGAACGTTTGATGAAATAACGTCGATAAATGGTGCGTCTAAAGTTGAACATAAGCCTCCCCGAATTTCCTTCAGTTCTATCAGCCTTGAGATTCCTGCAGCCAATTCCCAACGATTCTTTTGACGTCATTTGTCCATCGTGTAGGTGCTCTACCTCTACTTCTTCTGCCTGCTCGTTCTCTGCACATAGGTCGTCCACATCGGTGTCCAGTTCCACGTCAGCCATGCTATGCACTATGTGACGCCTTTCCTTTTTATTTTAACGTTTCTTACGCTGTCTCTGAGAGTCAGTCCAAGTAGCATGACTGGAAGCATATATTGGTCGAACGTCTTTTTTTTTAATACTCTAACTTGTTCCTATTGAAGATGTCTGATAGAGCTAAATATGCAGCCCATGTTACAGTGATTGACTCTTTGCAGGTCCGCTGTTTAGTTGTGATTGGCAATTGGCATAGGGGTAATTATGTAAAGAGAAACCCAGTCTTAAATTTTAATCAACGTCCAAAACAAAAGTTTTTCATCTCATCGAACTATCTAATCATCATCATTCTGGCTTTAGAACCCTGTGTGGGTCCTAGCCTCCAAAAGATTTTTTCTTCATTCGTCCCTATCCATCACCTTCCTCCTAATGTCTTCATCCAACCTTATTCTGGATCTACCTCTTCTTCTCTGACCAATGGATCTATCAAGAAGCGTTCTTCTAGTCGAGTCCTTTTGTTCCATCCACATTACATGCCCTATCCACCTCAGACGTCCTATCTTAATATGTTTTACGATATTTGGTTCCTGGTATATTCTATAAAGTTCGAAGTTGTATCGTCTTCTCCATGCTCCATTGTCATTTACTGCTCCATAGATTTGCCTTAGTACTTTTCTTTCTAAACGTCTATGTTTTTATTACTTTTTGTGACAGTCCAGGTTTCTGAACCATATGTTAGGACTGGGCGTATTATTGTAGAATTTTATTTTTTTATTTCTCGATATAATTGTGGATTTAAGGAGAAGATTAAGTTGGCCGTGCAAACTCTGCGGTTTATCTCTGCATTAGTGTTATTTTAAGTGTTATGGAGCGCTCCTAAGTCTACAAATTTGTTCACTACTTCGATGACGTCGTTTTCTATAACACGTGGTAGGAGGATTTGTGGTTGCGTACTTATTTTTATATACTTCATTTTGTTGGTGTTTATTATTAAACCTATTTTTGTAGCTGATTCCTTTATTGCTCTCATTACTCCTCTCGTTCAGCGTTTTCGGTTCTCCCTACAATATTGATATCATTAGCATAAGCAAGGATTTGCACTTATTTATTATATATTGAACCGTGATTGTGATTTGTAACATACGTATTACTTTCTCCAGAGCCAGATTGAACAGTTTACAGAAGATAGGGCCTTCTTGGAGCAGCCCTTTATATGTTTTAAAAGGTTTAGACAATTCCCCCTGAATTCGTATTAACTTTTTCAAGAGTTAGTTTTGTTAAATTTACCAACTGATTTGGCATTCTAATAAATGGAAATAGAAGATAGAGTAGCTTATCAGAATCTCATAACTTCAGAATTGAAAGAAGTAGAACAACTTAATGAAAATGTGCATTAGATATAGAGGTGACAAACATGCGAATAAATAGTGCAATTCGAAACGCTCATACAAAATATAAGGAAAAAGGAAAAAACAAGATGGATAAACTCACTCAAGCTACTAAAGATCTTATAAACAAAAGAAGAGAATTAAAAGACAAATACACAGATAATTTTGTAACACTAAGATAGTTAAACAAAGATATCACAAAATCCATTCGAGAAGATGTCAGAAATTACACTGAATATATAACTCAAACCATTGATAAAAATAAAAGTTTAAAGGTTTTGCGCCGACAAATGACTGAAGGATCGAAAAATATTTGTAAACTTGTAAATAAAAAAGGAGAAACTACAACAAATAAGGAAGATATTTTAAAAATTGCTCAAGATTTTTACTCAGAATTGTATAAGCGAGATGAACTTCCAGATCCTAATCAAAATCAAATACCAAAAGTTCAAAATGTAGGCTCAGAAGATATCCCAGATATCACAACAAAGAAAATAAAATCAGCTCTCTCGGAGACGAAAACAATAAATCACCTGGAGAAGATGGGATAGTCATTGAACAAATCAAAGAAGGAGGAGGAACGTTACTAAATGTGTTGAAAAAGATGTTCAATGCTTGTTTGACAAGAGGCGTAACCCCCTCCCAATTAACTGAGAGTAACTCCCCTCCCAATAATAACCATAATGCACAAAAAAGGTGACATTTCAGACCTAAAGAACTACAGACCTATTACTTTATTCTCCCATACATACAAACTATTCATGAAGATAATAACAAAACAGCTTGTGAACAAACTGGAAAGTTACCAACCTTGTGAACAGGCTGGATTCCGCTTCAGATACGGAACAAATGATCATCTACAAGTTGTAAAAACGCTAATAGAAAAGTGTACATAGTATAACAAGCCTATCTTTCTTATATTCGTAGATTATGAAAAAAACGTTCGATATTATAGATCATCATAAAATGCTTCGAGCATTGGCTAACTGTCGCATTGACTACCGATATATTGCCTTGATTAAAAGTATTTACGAAACTTTTACAGCTTGTGTCCGCCTTCATGAAGATACCAAGTTTCGAATAGAATGTGGAATTAGACAGGGTGATATTATCTCCCCTAAATTATTTACAGCTGTTCTTAAATATATGTTCAAGCAAATGGAACGAGAGGATAATATGGGAATTAATATAAATGGGGATCTGAACCACCTAAGATTTGCCGATGGCATCGTCTTAATATCTGATAGAGTTGATAAAGCTACAAAAATGCTGCACACGCTCTAAAAGGTGTCAAAAACAATTGGTCTTGAGATTCGCCTAGGCCGAGATAATTAGACAACTGAAATACAAAGAAGGATGGGTCTCACATGGGCTGCCTTTGGTAGATTGAATAACATTTTTAAGTCTAGTATCCCAGTTTGTTTAAAAAGAAAGGTTTTTAACCAGTGCGTTTTACCGGTTCTTACATATGGTGCAGAAACACTGACTCTGACAAAAAGAACAATAGATAAAATAAGAGTTACACAACGCGCTATGGAAAGATCAACATTAGGTATTACCATCAGAGATAAAGTACCAAACCTAGAAATAAGAAAAAGAACAGGAGTCATAGATGCAGTTGAAAAAATAGCCAGGGCTAAATGGGCTTGGGCCGGACATGTTGCCAGATTAACGGATGACAGATGGACCGAAAAGATTCTAGAATGGCGACCAAGGCAAGATGCATATCGAAGCAGAGTACGACCACCGACTAGATGGACGGGATAATATCCAGCGCATCACCACAAACTGGATGCAAGAAGCTCAAGACAGAAATAGGTGGAAAATTTTACGGGAGGCTTACGTTCAGCAGTGGACAAATATAGGCTAATTGATGATGATGATGATGATTGGTATTCCGAGCTCTTTCATTACTTTGAACATTTCTCTTCTATTCACAGAGTCGTAGGCTGCTTTGTTGTCTATAAAGATGTGATGAGTATCAATGCTATGTTTCAGTGTTTTTTTTTTTAATTTATTTCAGGGTCGCACTCGTCGATTTACTACCTCTGAAACCAGCCTGGTATTTTTCTACTATCCGTTCTGCATATAATGTCATGCGGTAACATAGTATGGACTGTGAAAAATTTTTTATACGCTGCGTTTAGAAGCGTAATTCCTCTGTGGTTAGTGCGTTCAAAGATATCTCCTTTTTGTGTATGGTGCAAAGTATTCCAATCATTGAAGAGGGATTTCTGTGACTAATTTTTTTTATAAGCTGCTGTAATGCCATTATGGTATCGTGGCCACCTTCTTTATATAGTTCAGCTGGGAGATTATCTATTTCGGGTGATTTGTTTCTGGCTAGTTTCTTAACTGCATCTTTAACTTCAAGAATTGTTGGTGGTTCCTCTTCTCTCTCGTCTGGTCCACTTACCTTATCTATTTCGTCTTCCAGGTTTTCTTCTTCTTTCTGTATATTAAGTTCCTGGTTAAAGTATTCCACCCATATATTTAACCCTTTTTTGCTTGTCATTAATAGGTTACCATTCTGACTTCTGGATTGTCTGGTGGTTGCCTTGAATTCTTTTCTGTTAATGTTAACCTTCTTACAGAATGCTCTGAATTCTTTTTCTCTGTTGCAGTTTTCTATTTATTTAAGTTCCTAATTTAAGTGGTTTCGTTCTTTTTGTGTATCCTCTTTTCTTCTCTTCTATTTGTCTGGTAATTCTCTACAGTTGTTATTTTTCGTGGATTAAGCATATTTCTGTAAGCTTCATTTGTTTTGTTGCATAAACCATGTAATACTAAATCTTTTTATTTCAATATCTTTTTATACTTAGATGCTCCGATTTCTTATAATCAAATAGTATTTGGAGATTTGGATTCGATACACCGGAGCTTCTAGTGAAACTGTTGTTCACTGAAACTATTGTGAATCCACATAATCAACAAGCGCTGTTGAATCAACTAGCACAAAACACTTGTTAGCACAAAACACTTGTTACGTTTTAAATTACGTATTTTTAATATAATTACATATTTATGTATTTTAGATCAACCTTATATACTCCCAAAGTAGTAGACGAGCCAAAAATAAAGATTCAAGATACCGAAATAATTTCTAGATCTCCCGAGTTGAAGGACGAGAACGAGAACGAGGAGCATTTTTACAACGATGACAGCATCAAACTAGAAAATGAACCGATCGAAGGAGAAGAACAGTCCGACGAGGAACCTGCTAACATCATTCCGTGGAGAGCGCACCTGCGGAAAACAAACAGCAAGTTAAATCTATTAGAATAGTTTAGCCATTTATACATATCTATTGAAATGTTTATATAAGTTATTGAAATATTTTAATACAAGATATTGGAAAATCTTCATGTAACAGAGTATTTTTTAATAGTGATTTATTGTGACTACTATGCTCATATTTATGTCCCGAGAGTGTAATATCAACTTCGCCTTATTCAATCAAATTTGATTTTAAAAATTTAACATCATCTTCAGAAATTGAAATAGCAATAATATCATCTACCCATATCCAAACATTTTTTCCATTGGAATACAAGCAAAGGTTAACCTTAGATCTCTTAAATCTTAAATTACATAAATGCTTTTTAATATTTGTATTCCAATATTTACATACTACACCAGGTTTAACACTAAGGCCATCCGGTGGCTTTAAAAACACGCCACTAGTCACTGGACTTTTCAAAAAAGCACTTTTCACATCAACTTGATGAATATCCATATCACGATCTACACCAATGGCTAACAATACCCTCAGACTGGTTAATCTAGCTACTGGTGCATACACGTCTTCGTTTTCCAATACTAGCTGCTGATAGCCTCTGGCCACTAATCGAGCTCTTTTCACTAACTGACCATCAACGTTTTTCTAAACAAAAACCTATCGTGAATGATTACATCATCAGCCTTGGGTTCTAGCAAAGTCCAGGTACTAACGCCAAAAGTTCTTTATCTATATCCTCCTTTCATTCATACCCCATCGAAACAGCTTCAGTATAGTTTTTAGGTAATTCAGAAGGTAGACAGCCAACAGATAAAGCCATCATCATATTCACTTCATAGATCAAGATAAGTCATCAAATTCAACTTCGTCTTCGAATTTCGCCTTACACATTATTGTTTTTATTTTTGGAGTCTATTTTATTTCTTTTTCATCGAATCTATAAAAGATATATAGACAAACATCCATAGTCTTACAAAAGATATGCAGCAAATTAAGTTGGGAGTGAGACAAATAGCTTAAGTTCAAACCATGCATGCAAAACGTTCAGTTTTAAGTAAGAAAAATCAGAACTAAGTCAGTTTTATAAAAGATAAAAAATGTTAATAGAACAGTAGATATTATAAAAAACTTTGGTGTAAGTAACAAATAAAAAAACTATCCAAAATGTAGGACAAATAAAATTCCAAAATAACACTGATATAATCCAATAGTAGACATTATTAGGTTTAAATTTAACTTTAGGTAACATTTAATAAGCTTGTTAAAAAGCAGTAAATGATAAAGTAATATTACCAACTGGGCACCATAAACACTTCCATATTGTTCTGAAGCTATTTTCTTGTGGCATTGTAAATTAATTACTATTTAACTGGGAATAAGCCACAATTAAAGATAAAAATACGTTTATTGACGTTTCAATTTCCACTTCGGAAATCGTTCTCAAAATACAAACAGTAAATTAAACAAATTTTGTTTTTTGTTACATAGTGAAAAATTCTTCTAATAATTTAATTTTATCTGACTCATTTATATTGACAATTCAGACATATGCATTTTAAAGTAGACGACTTTAAAATGATATTGCCAATATTGTTGAGTTGCGCTCCTGGGACGACATTACTTATAAGATAGTTCATTCGATTACATGAAATCAACTTCAACTTGAGAATATCCAATATTGAAATATTGGATCTGGTTACCAATATTGAAAGAGGAAGTTATTAATAAGAAAATACCAGTATTATTAAGTCAGTAACATATAGTGGATACATCATTTATGTTTTTTAAATAACGTAACATATAAAATCAGAATTTTGATGTTTGTTGAAGGTAAACTAAATTCATGAACAAATACTTACAATGTCGGGATAGTATTATGAGGTTTTTTCCTGGTTTTTCCCTCATAATTTACTATGGAATCACTAACAGGAGAATTTTACTGTCATCATGTCATGTGTTTGTCTTTTTAAAGACGAATTACATGCTATGATTTTTTTCTGACGAATATTCTCAAGTTAAAGATGATTTCATTTAATCGAAAGAACTATCTTATAAGTAAAGTCGTCCCAGGAGCGCAACTCAACAATATTGGCAATATCATTTTAAAGTCGTCTACTTTAAAATGCATAATGTGTATGTCTGAATTATCAATATTAATGAGTCAGATAAAATTAAATTATTAGAAGAATTTTTCACTATGTAACAAAAAACAAAATTTGTTTAATTTACTGTTTGTATTTTGAGAACGATTTCCGAGGTGGAAATTAAAACGTCAATAAACGTATTTTTATCTTTAATTGTGGCTTATTCCCAGTTAAATAGTAATTAATAAACACTTCCAGTTCTAGACTAAATACGAAAAGATCAAAAAGGTATTAAATTTGAACGAGTATACCCGAAAAGCAAGAATGGCATTTGATCAAGCTTCAACTTGATCTAGATTACTAGAGCGGTAATTCCAAATACATTAACATACCAAGGTGTTGCCAAAGTTGGTCTAAGTGGACATCAATAAAGTAAACAAGGTTTCAAAACACCTCATTTATTAATGTGGATCACAACTTTGCATTAACCCGTGAGAACACAAGTAGTACTCACATAGAGCATTAATGATTCTAATGAATAAATGATAGTGGTTAATCTCTGGTTTAGTACACTCTACAAATTAATTGGTAGGGACCTTATATTCTCTATTTGTGGCTATTACCTTTTGTAAAAGTTTAGAGGTGTTCCTTCACCTAATGTGGCTGCCAGGTTAAACATGTGCTGAGGATCTAATAAAGATCATAGAGCATTAATGACTCTAATGAATAAATGATAGTGGTTAATCTCTGGTTTAGTACACTCTACAAATTAAGTGGTAGGGACCTTATATTCTCTATTTGTGGCTATTACCTTTTGTAAAAGTTTAGAGGTGTTCCTTCACCTAATGTGGCTGCCAGGTTAAACACGTGCTGAGGATCTAATAAAGATCAAGGAAGAGAAGTACAAACTTCGGAGCAGAATCCTAAATAAAAGACTTTAATGTCAAAATATCAATATCATACTTCTAAACACTAAAATATTTAAAATACACAATAAAAGAAAGTTGGACCAGTGAAACCTTTAACAAGATCAGAGAACACATCTAATAGAAAATAAAGAGAAGAGGAAAAGTTGGATGAATGACAATATACTGCAACTCATGAAACTGCATGGAAGAAAGAAGAAAATGAAAGAATAACAAAAGAATGTACAAAAATATTCCGAGACAAATAAGAACCGAGATACAAAAGACCAAAGATGATTTCCATAAGATTGTAAATTTGTAATAGCTATGATTAATGACTAAGGTTACTCGTGTGAGCCTTTGTTGCTGTGGGTTCTCAATTATTAAGCTCATCTAGGCCTTAGGACAAGAGGGTGCCGTTAATATTAACAGATTTTTGAAGGGGAGCTATTGAAAGCTAAGATGGGATTACCTATACCGGCTATCACACAGACTCTACTTGTGTTACTCATCCTTTTCACTATGGTTTGCCTTCTAGCGCGTAGAGGTACATTTTCCTTCGGATATTTATGTTTTTTATTATTGAAATTTAGATTTTAGGTATTCTCAATTCCTATTAAAGAAAAAAAGTTTAAAAAGGCACTAAACTGTTTGGATAAATATCAAAAAAACATTATATATTACATTATTGTTTCCAATGTCTTGTATTTGAGGATTGTATTGTGTTTGCAATTAGTATTTAATGTAAATTATTTTGATATTGATCGAACATAAAGCGAATTTGAAATTTGTATTGACATGATTACACAAGTTTATCATTAGAAAATAGAAATGTGTAGCTAATGTCAATATTAGGGACGAGTCATATTTGGGTTTGTACATTATGAGATAAGATAAAAATAATTTTTTAACAGCGAGCTGGTAATATAAACTAAGCTATATTATATTTAATAGGATATTGGCACGTACACATAACAATGCTTGCAACAATGATGTGATAATTATGGCAGCAAGTGAGCGAATATGGCACCTTTTCTAGAAATCATATCATTAAAAAAAGTGAAGGTAAGCAAGACTAGACCTCGATAGCCAGACCTTTCGAACGCTCAAATGACGAGGAGGACAAAAACTATTTTGCCTATTCGGCGGCTGAGTGAAAGAGCACACACAATCACGGGGAGTCACTGACTTAGGTCGGTGATTTGCTGTTCGGAACACATATTTTGGGAGACAGGTCCAATGTAAAAATTAACTTCGGTCATTCATAGTGAAAAGGCTCTTCTAGCTACTCCTAAAATCCAGGATGTCTTAGTACCAGGACATTCAAAGTAAGTTTCAGTCCAAAGTCTCCCCATTCGTTTTGTCATGCGATTGGAAAGGGTGGTTGATTACGGCTTGGGCCAGATAGGTACTACTCTAATTTGGAGTGTGACCGGTTTAATATTCGGTCATGTGGGTCCCACTGTTACATTAAAACATACATGGCACTCGGAGCTGGTGTTCTACAAAATTTTGTGTGTGTATATGTGTGCCGTATACAAAACCGAACTCACGACCGTTAGAATAGTCAGATAATAAAAACAATTCCCTGATATTACAACAATGGAACTTGGTACGTATTACGCTTGTTATATAAAGTAAAGAATTAAAATCGTTTCTGAACAGTTTACACTGTATTTTAATGAGTTGAAGAGATGTATTGGAGATCCTGAAGTTCGTCGCATTGAACACAAATCAATTGAGTGTAGTCTTCTTCTTCTTTAAGTTCCATCTTCTATCGGAGGTTGGAAATCATCATGGTTATGCGGACTCTGTTGACTGCCGCTCTAAAATAATTTGCACTACTGCATTCAAACCATTCCCTTAAGTTCTTAAGCCAGGATATTCTTCGTATTCCCAAATTTCGCTTTCCTCGGATTTTGCCCTGCATAATAAGTTGTAATAATGCGTATTTTTGCCCTCTATAGTTAATATTATTTCCGCCTCATTTCCTATCCTTCTAGTTACTTCCACGTTTGACATTCTTTGAATCCATGATATTCGTAGGATTTTTCTGTA